CTATGGCTGTGGGTGGGCTTGGGTAACACACAGTGATCTGCTCCTCCCCTCTGCATATGATCCGTAGCTCACTAGTATCCAACATACGCATAATTGCAGGGTGGGTTTTTTATGTTTACTTCTATTTTGTTGGTTATGGGCTCATTCTGAATGATGCTGGGCATGTGGTGCTTGCAGGAGTGCAAAGCCTGCTGAAGGATCTAAACCCCTGTGTTTGCATCCTCTTATGTGAACTTTATCTGCCCTATTCCTCAACTCTGTGTGGATGATAAAGTTTTCAGTACACTCTGAATTCCCCCTATACATGGGGGCAAAGGAGAGGAACTGTGTTTCCATAGACATCCTGACATGCCTCAACTGTGGTGTCCACACGTTCACTTGATTGGGATGGAGAGCATGGGTGGCAAGAGCATCTTCATACCCTGGTGACTTTATTGTCTCTTATCAGTGGGTGCTTAGCTCCTGCCCTGCTCCCTGGCAAGGAAACCTTGCAGGAGTAGGTCCTCAGTGTGAGGAAAGCCAATCTGTAGAGACCCAGTGAATGCTTTGCACAGCATCATAATAGCATTTGAAACAGTAAAGTGCCTGGAAAAGTTTTAAAATTTTGCAGGGGGGTGGGAGGGTGTGCTTTGCCAGTGAAGGGTTCACCCATCTGTGTCTGCAAAGTGTTTATGTACTAGTATTTCAAGCCATGACCCTTTCTGTAATCCTTCGGTTCCAGCAGGTTTCAACCTGTATACGGTCAGTATAATCTTTCTGGCTATAGATTAAGTGGGTAATTTTAGTCTGAGATTAGTGCTCAGGATCTTTGAATGCCATCTGAGTATTTGCCATACAATACAATTGCATTAAAGGTAGTTTAATTTTCCTAGTAAAAGGATTTGTGTTGTGAAGACGCACCAGCCTCCTTAGGCTGTTCTGTGCTTAGTATTAATGCATTTAATAGGTTGGCCTAGGGAGCATTGGTAAAACAACTTTCCAAACTTTTGCATGGTAGATTCTCTGCCCTGTGGCTTGCATGGGAAGGATTTCTCTCTGTTTTGGAGGATTTGGGATTGAGCACTGTATACTGAGCTGTGTTGCTTGTTCTTTTCAGTCCTAGTTAAATTTCATCAGGAAGTCACATCCCAGATGAAAGCAAATAGGCTATGGTACTTTTGCAGTAAAGTGTCTCTTTGTTCCTTAATTGATGTTGGTTTGAGGGGCTTTTTTGCTGTGACTGAAGGGAAAGGTGTATCACAAACTTGCTGTTTGATGTGAGGAATCAATTATTCTGTACCCCAGCACAGCTAGGGAGGAGGATGGTACCGGCTATGCTGCAGTTAATCTGCAGGTGTTGTATATTCCCTGTACACAAATCAGTTGATCTGAAATGGAGTCTGCTGCCTAGATTAATCATATATGGTTTTGATTTTGTTGAAGATTCTGGTCATGCAAATATAGAAAAAATACAAGTATTTATTTTAAAAAGCTGTGGTTTTTTGAGGCTTATAAAGCTCTTGTGTCATCTTGGAGCATGAAATGTGGGAATAGAGTTGTACAGTTCTGTACTGCTTAAACTTGCTTAGTAATATGAAAACGTTCGAGTCTGTGAGAGGGGGAAGTATATCCACATTAAAAACCTACAGAAGTGGCCCCAGGTCATGCTCTGACTTTGAGTATTGGGCGCTTCCCAGGTAAGCTTTTGTCCTGTTCCTTATTTGAAGGTGCAGCAAAAGGGACTCTGGGCATGTGAATATTATAGCGATTAGGGAAGTTTGCTTCTCTTCTTTCTCCAAGCTTCCTCTGCAGTTTGGAGAGAGAAAAGTGAGATTACAGTAGTGGTCACAGCCACAACTTGCACTGGGCTCTGTATGCTTCATCTCCTTTTATTTGCACTGTGGCTTTTTGGCCATTAGCTTTATATGGCTGCCAATATTCCTTCCTTTCCTTATACTCCATACTGTTTTGGCTTGACTCCTGATGAAATCTGGAAACTTGCTGCTGTAATCATACATAGACCTGTATATCATGGCAGCTAACAGTAACATTCACCTCCAAAGAGTGACCAAAAAGCATTGTGTTTGTTAGGAACATAGGGTAGCATAGGATATGTCTTGTGTTTAATGTCTCCTCCAAACCTCAGAATGAATCAATGGCTTGTGCTCTGAGTACCTGACTCTTGAGGTGGCTTCAGAGGTGATGCCTCTGTGACTTCAGTTGATAGTCAAAACACATTTTTCTGCTGACTCTGCCTGTGTATATGCTGTATCACTATAACAGGCAGCTGCTGGCAGAGTTCAAGATGCAATCTCTAAAATTTACTTGTCATATTTTTGTAAGGGTTTTGCAAATGTAAATTTATGATCATTGCTAGGCTTTTATTTTAAAGGTCCCTTTTTTCCTTCTCCGCTGTTGCATATGGAATCATTATACCAAAGGGAAGCTTCCTAATGGGATTACTAGGTTTTTGTTCCCTGTGCAGCTTCTGACATTCCTTAGGTATTCTGTCTGGTAGCTCTTCCTGCTATGATTCAGTACAGGAGAATGTTTCAAGCATGTGCATGTGTACATATGTAATGAATCAGCTGGTCTAGGTTGGGGAAGGGTGAGAAAATCAGTCCTGGTTCCTTTTCTTTCTCCTCCGACTTACTTGCTTACTGTATTGCTGTGAAAGTTGGAGATCAGGTTTCCCAAGATAAACCTGCTCTTGGGCAACAAATTTAGAGTAGGTCATTTATGGAACTAATCTTACCAAAAAATAAACTCATGGCGAAGGTAGATGCAATTCTCTGTCCACTCATCTATAAATTAAGACTTTTTTCCCCATCTTACAGTGAATAATAGATATACTTTTTCATATGTAAAATTAATAATTAATTTAACTGTCTCATTAATCTTACGAATTTTTTTCTTTGTTTATAGGTGTGAAAGAAAATGTCAGTCAGCATGCATGAAAATCGCAAATCTAGGGCCAGTACTGGCTCCATAAACATATACTTGTTCCACAAGTCATCCTATGCTGATAGTGTCCTTACTCATCTGAACCTTCTGCGTCAGCAGCGTCTCTTTACAGATGTACTTCTCCATGCTGGGAACAGGTCATTCCCCTGCCACAGAGCTGTTCTAGCTGCTTGCAGCCGCTATTTTGAAGCAATGTTCAGCGGAGGACTGAAGGAGAGCCAGGACAGTGAAGTCAACTTTCATAATTCAATTCACCCAGAAGTCTTGGAGCTTCTTCTGGACTATGCATATTCCTCCAGGGTTATCATCAACGAGGAGAATGCAGAATCGCTGCTGGAGGCCGGTGACATGTTGGAGTTTCAGGATATTCGGGATGCTTGTGCAGAATTTCTGGAGAAAAACCTTCATCCCACCAACTGTCTCGGCATGCTGCTGCTGTCAGATGCTCACCAGTGCACCAAGCTGTATGAACTCTCTTGGAGGATGTGCCTTAGCAACTTCCAGAGTATCAGTAAAAGTGAAGACTTCCTCCAGCTGCCAAAAGACATGGTAGTGCAGCTCCTTTCCAGTGAAGAATTGGAAACTGAAGACGAAAGGCTGGTATATGAATCGGCTATCAGCTGGGTTAACTATGACCTGAGTAAGCGGCACTGTTTTCTGCCCGAGCTATTGCAGACGGTGAGACTGGCCCTCTTGCCAGCCATATACCTTATGGAGAATGTGGCCATGGAAGAGCTTATCACCAAGCAAAGGAAGAGCAAAGAGATTGTAGAAGAATCAATAAGATGCAAGTTAAAGATCTTGCAGAATGATGGAGTGGTCACTAGTTTGTGTGCCAGACCCCGTAAAACTGGCCATTCGCTTTTTCTTTTGGGTGGCCAAACCTTTATGTGTGACAAGCTGTACCTGGTGGACCAAAAGGCGAAGGAGATCATTCCAAAGGCAGACATACCAAGTCCACGGAAAGAGTTCAGTGCTTGTGCCATAGGCTGCAAAGTGTATATCACTGGGGGACGAGGGTCAGAAAACGGAGTCTCCAAAGACGTGTGGGTGTATGACACCCTTCACGAGGAGTGGTCAAAGGCTGCTCCCATGCTGGTAGCTAGGTTTGGGCATGGCTCTGCTGAACTTAAGCACTGTTTGTATGTAGTAGGAGGACACACTGCAGCAACTGGTTGCCTTCCAGCTTCCCCTTCAGTATCCTTAAAGCAAGTTGAACAATATGACCCCGTGACCAACAAATGGACCATGGTTGCCCCACTGCGAGAAGGAGTAAGCAACGCAGCTGTAGTCAGCGCAAAGCTTAAGCTGTTTGCTTTTGGAGGTACCAGCGTTAGCCATGACAAGCTGCCCAAAGTTCAGTGCTATGATCAGTGTGAAAACAGATGGACAGTACCAGCCACCTGCCCCCAGCCCTGGCGCTACACGGCTGCAGCTGTTCTGGGTAACCAGATTTTTATTATGGGTGGAGATACCGAATTCTCTGCGTGCTCCGCTTACAAGTTCAACAGTGAGACATACCAGTGGACTAAGGTGGGAGACGTGACAGCTAAGCGAATGAGCTGCCATGCAGTGGCATCTGGAAACAAATTGTACGTGGTTGGAGGCTACTTCGGTATTCAGAGGTGCAAGACGTTGGACTGCTACGATCCCACGTTAGATGCATGGAACAGCATAACAACTGTGCCCTACTCGTTAATTCCCACGGCATTTGTCAGCACATGGAAGCACCTCCCCTCATAATTGTGTATGTTGCAATTACAAATTATCAGGTAAGAAATAGCACCTTTGAATTCCACTGTAATAATGCTTTTCAGCAGCAGCTCTGAGGAGGGTGAGTATATTCAATCCAATTTTACAGCTGGAGCGACTGAGACGCGTATCTTCACAGGCTGTCGTAAGCCAGGCACTATGTCTGTGACAAAGCCAGATGCTGGAGGTAGTTTGCCACATATCTTGCAGCCACTTCTTTTTACATGATTTAGATGTTGAAAATGTTATTTTTGCTCAGTCCTTTACTTGTGTGGAAGTGCAGGTAATTTGGAAATTGAGTTCTGCTCTGTGTTTAGATACTAAATGCACACTAAAAAAGGGTTTGCTGCCATTTTCCAGCAGAGGCCAGGTCACTCTGTATATCCAATATCAGTGCCTGGAAAAGATACTGTAAATTCTGATCTGAAGCCTGATAATGAATTCACTTGAATTTCCAGGCAGACAGCATGCTTTCTCAAAGCAGACAGCCTTTGGGGAAACTTGCTGTCTTATGAAAGGTGTTTTACAGGCACTTCAGGCTTAATTTTCCATCTCACCTAGACAGCACGGTTGCACCTGCATGGACTAAGGTTGCATTTGCTCCATTGATATACTTTAAAATACAGATTTTTCAAAATAGTTATGGTCATATATGTTGGACTACATATAGTGTCGGGAAGACATATAATTAATATTGCTGGCTGAAATAATTACCAGTCTATAGCACACACTGTTCCAAAACAATTTAATTATACATAATGGGCCAAGCTCTTACCAGGTGCAACTTCAGCATTGTATCTTCTCACAAGCAAGTCTGAATTTGGCCTTGCTTGTTTTGGTTGTGAATTTCTGATTTTTAGGAGGAGGGGAGAAAAGGTTCATGAACAAAAATACTAAAATAATCCAGGTACCTAACATACTATTTTTAAAATCTGTTCTTTCATGCTAACTACTGTTACTTCAACTATTACTAATTTTTCCTTATTTTTGTCTTTTCTAGAGTTACATCACTTAAAATAAGTCAGAGACATTTTCCAGAACTATGTGTATTTTGCAACAAATCTGGCAGACTCCCCTTAGTGTTGCGTTGCTCTTTTCCTTTACTTGCCCCTTGATACTTTAGTACAGAATCACAGTTACCACCAACCAAACAAACAAATACAGTGGCATGCTTAATCCTAAATAATCCATGCCCTGTGAGTGGTAGTTTCTTTTTGGATATGAACAGTGTATAATATAACCATGAAGGCAGGCAGGTTAAAAGGAACAAGGCAAATAAATACAGTTGCAGTAACTAAACAAGCTCTGCCTTTGCATCTAAGTTACTTAGAAGTCAAGACTGATGGAAATTCTCCAGCAAATAGGAAGAACAGCTTGTGTACGAAGACTTCCTTAGGTTCATCTGTTTTGGAACAGATCATATTTTGTTTCTTGCAGCTGGAGACGCTAGTCTGACTCTTACAGTAAACATGAAATGCAAATGTCTTTGAAGCAGACTAGATATAAGTATATACCTAGAAATGCAGGGTAGTCGTGAAATTCCTTTCTGTGTGGTACACTGAGGATTCATCTTGTAGTTGTCTTTCAGCTGACTGGGAGCTTTGACTGAGTGAAGAATATGAGGTTGGGCCCCTGCAAAGCAGCAGGTCAGCATGGAAATCTAGTGTGAAATTGGGCTGCGTTGTGCCATCAGCTGCTCTTGTCTCAAATGGTTGTTTCTCTTGAAGACACTGCCCTCCCTCCTCTCCTTGCTTTATTTTTCCCAGACTTACTCTTGGAAAAGCGGGGCAAACCCTTGAGACCTAACCAGATCCTGGGTGCTGGGAGCAATCACACCCCCCAACAGCCAGCAGGTGGAAGCCCTGATTTCTGCGCGGTGGCTTCCTCCCTGGCTGGGAACAATGTCTTGACATCTTCAGTTAACTTCTATTATTACCGACTTTCAGCAGTTCTCAGTGTTATCAGAGCAGCGGTATTGAATGCCTGGACTCAGGTCTGTGCCAAGAAAAATATTGACTTATTCTTCTGAGACTGACTTAATTGTTCTGAAGTTTACAGTACATGAGAGGGAGTGTTTTATTTTGAAAAAAAAGTCCTCAGAATATAACGGTGCAAAAAGCTTTCGTTTACTCTGCAGTATCTTGTTAAAAGCCATTATTTTATCTTAACTAACACACAAGATAACTGGCTGAACGCAGCTGTAGACTGAAATCTCTCCAATGCTGTGTGCTCATCCAGCAAGTAGGTTGTTTTTTTTTCTGACTCCTGCTGTTTTGTCAGTGGGTGGGAGGGACAAAAAGGAAATTACTTCTGATTACCCTCTGTTTTCATGGCGCTGTGTGGCCCCAGACTGACAGTTTTTAGGAAGACTTTAGCCTGCTTTGTCCCATTCCTCAAACTTAGGGCTTTTGAGTAGGTTGGGGATTTTTTTTACCCCTTCTGTTTCAGAATTGTTTATAATTTTTTTTAAAGCTCATCCCATGACAGGGAACATTGTTTTGGCTTCAGTGTTGATAGTGTGTTTCAGTGGGAAGAATGGCATGCTACGCCATGAAAGGACTAATCAATGCTAAGTGCAGAGATCTTTTTTTAGACATAATGAAGATAGTGTGTTTCAAGCCCACAGTTGCAAAGAGGCTTGATGCTCTGGGCTGTTGTGTAGGCTGTGGTGCTTCCTGTGAGTGTTCCTTGTTGTTCTTAGACATCACAGCTTGAGAGTGATGTGATACATTCAAATTAACTGTGAGTTCACTGGAGCTCCTTTGCATTGTAATGATGTTGAATTTCCCTCCTAAAATTCTAGCAGTGCTGTCAGAAATTTCTGTGATGAGCTGATGGTGATTTGGAAGTTGGCGTTTTAATACAGCATCATATTGAAAAAGCAAAGCGCAATCTCAGCATCCAAAGGCTGAATTTCTCAGTGAATAATCAATTTTTATAAAGGATTCTAGGATGGAATTATTGATGCATGGAGCATTGCTGTGTGAAAAGAAATGAGGCAGACTTTTGCTCTAATGGATAGCAGATATATTTTAAGTAAGGGGATTATATATGTCTTTCTATATTGTGAATAAATTCAATTCAGAATTCTTCATGGTGAATGGAGACATTGGGGTGAGACACCTTCACCTCCCTTCTGCTTTACTCCAACCAGGTTTGCCTTGGCCAAGGGACAGAAAAAACTCTTTGCCTTAAATGCTCATGTGGGCTTTTGTGGAAGAGAAATTCCACAAGGTGATGTTCCCTTAAAACAAATCCCCAAAGCTTTAAGATTTTTGGGGAACATAGAAATGATGAAGTAGGCAGAGCCCATCATTGGGCTGTATTGGGCCAGTTTGATTGAGGTTTCAAATAACTGAATTTATAGTAAAAAAATTAAATGGTCTTTCTGGAGTCAGGGGAATGGTTTGCAGAGTAAGGCTAGTAGAATAATAAAGGCAACATTTGATGCTAAATAATTATGTTCTTGACTAGCTTATTTATCAGTAGTTGACTATCGCACAGGAACACTGAGCTGGTGGGGGGAATGGGGAACCCATCAATTGGATTGTATCCTAAGCATAGCTTTTAGATTTTCTTTGACATCTGACAAAAACCTTATGGTACATTGTCTCAGCAAACACCTTTAAGGTTTCTCTGATTTTTTTTTTTTCCTCTTTTTTTTCCTTTTTCTCCCCACTCTTCCCATGCTTTTAGTTTACTTCTTTATTTGGAGAAGAGAATTGGAACCTCAGATCTGGAGAAACGGTTTGATGAAGAAAAATCGTTCAGCGGCTCTTGCATTTGAAGAAAATCATCTGCACCTTGTAAATTATGTAACCTAGACATGAAGGAATGAGAGGGAAAAAACCTGTCTTCAGTGCTTCAGCACGTGGTTTAAATATGAATGGACAAACCTATGATCTGGTCCTTGTGCTAGTAATTGTGGATTAATGCCAATATTAATCAGTCCTTCAAAGAAGAAAAAGAAGAGACGCAACTTCTCTGAGCTGTGCAGCACACAGCACTTGATTTCCATGGACTCCACTGTTCGTATGTGAAATTTGAAATGGTTGTCACCTCTCTTTGTGGTGGTTTGAAGTGCCAGCGCCAGCTGCAGGGGAAGCAGGCCAGGTCTGAAACAGCGAGATGCCACTGTGAATGAAGATGCAGTGGTATTGCTGCTGAACTCTGCTAACGGGATCGTGCTTGTGTGTAGGCAGCGCCTACAGCATCTCTTAGATCCGGCATTGCATTGTTCCGTATGCAGAGAGTGACCTTCTGCTTGATAAGGAATAGCCCAGTGGTGAAATGTTTTTGCAAGAGGGGGAACGAATGACATGCCCCAAAGGCTCCTTGTTCCCTTTCTTCCCTGTATTTATAAGTAATTCAGACTGTCCCATTCCTGTTATGTTACTTGTTGTAGATATAGTTATTTATTGTTCAGTGCTTGCATGCTGAAACAATGCCTGCAATTGTCTTCATGTTGCAAGGGCTTGTGTGAATTGTTGTATGTTTTGCACATTTTGTGATTGCTGACTTGCTCTGCTGCACAAAGAAAGAAAACTGTTGAGTAACAGTTGGAGGTGGGAGGGAGGGGTGGCTTCCTGGTCAGAAATGGAAGGATTACAAGGCAGGATCTTAAGTTACACACGTACTAAAAGAAGAAGTCATGGAGGTTACTTTCTCAGGCCACCAGCACCCCAGGTTGCGTATGGTGTGTCTTGTAGATGGTGTCCTTGCTACATTTCATTTGTTGGTCATGCCTTTCAATTTCTAATCTGGAAATGGCCAAAATCTCTTGCAGCTCTCTCTTTGTGCAGCTTCCTGATTGCAACGCAAATACTGTGGAAGAGCTTCTGGATACCAAGCCCAGATGAAGTCATTGTCCAAAGTTATTTATTTATTTATTGGGTTGGAGGAGGGGTACCTACATTATAGCCACATTGACCTGAATGAGTGGAGTATGGTGATACAAGAATAAAAACAAAAAACCTCAAGATAGGTTAGTGATGAAGTCTTTAAAAAAAAAAAGAAACCAGCAATTTTGCACTGACTGGATTGCCTCATCCATCTGGATTTCAGATGATCATCTGAGTGGCCAGGTGTCAAAGACCCAAGTGCTCTAGAAAATTCTTATGGGGATAGAAATGAATCTTAAAAATAGCCATCAAACTTTGCTGCCTTTTATTTTCCTTAGCCAGATGTGTCTTTAAACACTTGGTCACTCAGAAGCGTCGGATACAATCCTGAGAAACCAAAATTTGATTTTTTAAACAAATTTTTTTCTTATCAGTCTGGTCTTGAGACAGAGATGAAGCTACTCTTTTTCTTCTGGATTTCAGAAGCTTATGTTTCACAGGTGCTTTCTTTGCCAGATCCTGTCATGAAGCATGTATTGTATTGTGTTTTTTCCTGAATGTTTCTGGACCCCAACTTAACTGGCACATTCAGTAACATGGTTGGTGTGTGCTGCAATAGAAGTAAACAGCCGCATGCGTGCATGCAAAACAGAAATAGTCACATTGTTGATGCTTGCCTTTCTCTGTGTGACAGTGATGTAGCTGTATTTGTGAAAGCTTTGTCATCTGAAAGTGTTTACACTGGTCACTGGAAGTTTCTCTGTGCTGCCTTACATTTGACTTGTTGTTTGGAGTAGACCAATACATTTCAGAAATAGAGTATTTGGAGTTCTGTGAATACTGAGAGAACATTGATTAATTAGCAAAGGCATTAGCAGTTCTTTAAAGGGTGAGGCCCGGCTAGATGTGAACAGTTATAGTTCCTCTGGTTAAATGGATTTATTGAAATGATAGATTTTTTTTTTTTTCTTCTTAAGTGTTTAAACCCACAGCCTTCCCCCACCCCATCCCCCCCAGCATTGGTCCTCGTCTCTTAGGTGGCTTTTAAGCAATAGGAAAACACCTTAGATAGGGTAGGTCTCCTTTCTATATCCCTGTGCTTGCACGGGTTGCCCTGTTGAAGCAAACAGCCTTGAATTGCTGTTGCCTTTCCTCTTGCGGATCACTCCCGGGAGTGTGAAGGGAGCCATACAGTCAGGCTTCCTGTGCTTTGCATGTCCTCTCCCCAGGCGCCAGTGCCTGCATGAGGTACAAGGAAGCGAAGAACTGGGTCCCCAGGGGCCCCCTTGCTTGAATAAGGGCATATAAGAGGTTTGGACCTCTTTTCTCCGTCGAGCTGATTAGAGTCCAGACGTGAAGCTGTACTGCATCTAACTACTTAGCTTATGAAATCTGTTTTGTAGTGCCATGCAACTTCCTAAAGTGGGATGAATTTTCTGCAGCTGTTTCCAAAGTTGTGGTCTGCTTTCAAGTCCTCAACTAATTCCTGTGTGTAGGCTGAAGGAAGCTGAAGCCAGGGTGGGCCTCTGGCTCTGCAGGGAATAGACTAGGCTCTTGCTCTTTAAATTGATGTGGGAATCCTGGCTAGCTATTTGACCATTCCAGTCCCGCAGAACACCCCACACTTTCAAGCAAATGCAGTTCACAGCGGAGTGCACACAAAAACCCTGGCATAAGACAGGAAGGTTCCTCTTATTTTGCAGGCTGGTTGCTGTAGAAACATATAACAAAGGACAGCCTTCCTCTTCTGGTGTAGTTGTGCAGCCCCTTTTCTCTAGGTCTGACACCTGTCTGCATAAGAGTGATTAGAGCAGAATAATGTTCCCTTTCCTGGCTATTGAAGATGTGGTTCATGTGCTAAAAGAAAACTGTGCAAGTGAAGAAGTAAAATTGTCTATGTTGTGTCTTTTTGTCTGCTACTACATCTTAAGGTTTTGTAAAACTTGTGGGTTTTTTTTTCACAATGTGAAACTGAAGGTCAATAAATTATTAGAGATTTTCTCTCCATGGAACATTTATTTCAAGTGTTGTCTCTTCCTCCCCTCCCTCCCCACCCCCAAATGCTTTGAATCCCTTATAATTTCCTTTTCATGTCCTCTTAATGAAAGCGCATCAACAACATGCAGTTTACTGCTTTGGTATAAGCTTCTGCTTCAGTTGCACTTCCCTTCCCTTTGTTCTGTTCTGCTGCTGTTACTATGATCCCTATCTCAAACTGGAGAGCCTCAAAACTTTTAAGAACAGGAAATGCAAGTTTGTTGGTGCTTGCAGCACAGTTTAGGTCGTGCCTGATATGTCTTGGAAGCGGAATTAGGCATCTTGAATCCTTCCTAATTATTCTTAAAGTAAAAAATACAGTCTGTGTGTAAAACATCCCAATTGTTCTCTATAATGCACACATATAGCCAAACTCTTAAGCTTACTTACATTTTTATGTGTATACAGGGTTATGGTTTGGGGGTTTTCTTTTGCTGTGGGGTTTTGTTTGTTTTTTTGTTTTTTTTTTTTAATCCTATTGATTTTCTATGTTGGCTTAGCACATCTCTGGCCTTAAGGTGTTGCTGACCACTATCCAGGTCTAAAATAACATCATGAGGGGGCATTCATACACACACTCCAGAGGTTCAGTTGCTCAGGTCTGCTAAGTACTGACCTCCTGTCCTGCCTAGAAGAAGATTTTCTCAAGTGTGCATCCATTGCTTTGGAGCAAAGGAACGGGGTTGGTCTTCCTTGCTTGGGTTGTTTCACTACCTGCCGTAGTAGTGAAACCGTATCCCTTTGCTGGTACAGCTCTGAAGGAGGGAGTAAAAGAGAAAGAGGTGTCCACAGCCCAGTGCAGCAAGGATGCTGATGCCTCGGTTGCCATCACTAACCTGTACAGCATGACTTGTTTAACTGAGTACCTGGGTTCCCAGCCCTGGAAATGAAATTATAGTGCTTGTTGAGCAGAGACAGGCAAGGCAGTAGCAGGAAGTAGTGGCTTCTGCAAGAACTAAGTTTTCTGAAATATTCTAATTACCTCTATTAAAGTTCCTGCAGCTGCCCCCTGAAAATCACAGGTTTCTTCGGCATGTTTATTTGCCCAGAGTCAGGGGCGCAGTATTAAGTGACTTTTCAGGCCTCGTCACTGCTCAGTTAACCTGTGTTTGAGGCATTTGCGATCAGTCTTGGCTGAGGGAGTGGGATGCTTATCTCAGAGAATCTTGAAATATGAAGGATACTGGAGGAAATCAGCCTTCCCACAGAACAGGGTAAGGTTAAATCAGTTAAAGTGCTCATTGCAAGCTCTTTGCTGGACAGTAACCTGGGTTGTTTTGTGGTTTGGTTTTTTTTTTTTCAGTTTGGATTTCACCAGGGCCTGGGATGCTTACAGCAGCACTGGGCATGAAAAACCTGCTGTAGAGTGACTCACTGGTGTCATTTTAGGGCACCAGATTACTTACTGGAGGGCTTTTATCTGGTCATGGATTCCAACTCCTTTGCTTGGCTCTGAATGTGGAAGACTTCTCATACTGGAGGTCTGATATTTATGGTGAGAATTTAAAATAGATAATTACATTTAGATTTAAAAGCTGATAATCTGTAAAATAGACACCTGCAAGGCATTGTCTCTATTTACAGTAGGTATGAATACTAAATGCCTTGAATTATTAGAAAGGAATGAGCTCATTAGCTCCATCAAGCATACCTGGGTGATGAGCCTTGACCTGGGAAAGTCTCAAAGGCTCTGTCTATTCTGGGAAATTGAAACGTGCCTGGCATCAGTCTCTGGCACTGAGGCCAGCTGGCCTGAAACAACCATGAGGTCTTTGAGCAGCCCCTTGTCCTGGCAAGACCCTGTGGCTGCACACAAGGTGCCTGGGATGGCCGCTGGAGTGCTCTGGCTCCTGAACCCTGCCCAGGAACGCTCCAGAGGAGTGCAAGTTTGCACGGGCCAAAACCATGCCAGGGTCGCTCAAACAATTTAGCAGAACTGATGATCACCTTCCAGTGCCTGGGAACATTCCTGAGCGCGGTTTAATATATTGCTGTCATCCCAGCTGGGACGTCTGAGTAACAACACGGTTACTGAGTGGAATTGTCTGACCCAGCATTAGTGACCTAAATGCTGTTGAAAGTGGGGGAAGGAATGCTGTCTCTGAGTCACACGGAC